TTGGGTGAAGAGATTCGAAGGTTGGTTCCACCAGAAGACGACGGCTGGTCAAGAGGAATCGGCCGTCGTCTTCTGGTGGAACCGACATTCGAATCTCGTCACCCAACACTTCTATTCAAAATGGAAGTAAGCTCAACAACAAGAATAGAAGTCCTCTTGTATAAGAGAGAGAGAGAGAGAGTTGTATGAGTAGAATAGGAAAAAAATGCCAGAAATATAATTATGGCTACTGGTACTCTCGAAAACCAACTCTTTCACGAAAAAAGTAATGTCGTCGATTGATATAGCAAATAGAAAATTGCTTCATCGACAATCCCAATACAGAATAGGCTATGGAAATGGCCTGAAATTCCTTGAAATTCACATCTGCCCTGTGACAATGTGGCGTAGTGGTTAACGTGTCCAGTCATGGTTCGAACCCCGGCTTTGGGTGTTGCTATAAGACCTAGGCGAGGTCGAAACAGCCGTCCACTCCAGCTTGGATGATAACACCTTTTGGCATAGCGAATCTATGTGAAGGTAAGTGGAAAAGATTAGCGCTGCTTATAAAATTGTGCGAAAATTCAACTACCAGTCCTTGATCACATTGAACGAAATAGCGTGAAGACAACTCAGTTAATTATGCCTACTTGGATTTAGAAGACTTCTGTGTGAATGAGCAACTGCGCTACAAGACAAGACTGGCAATGCGTCCCTATGCTCCAATGCCAAAAATCTGCTTGTCACTTGAAGAAAATAGAAACAAAACACGCATTTTGATTCCCTGAAATCCAATATAAACAAAGTATAAAATAACGTCGACACTGAAAGCCACTTTTTTAGAACTTTAGATGCATTTTAGCAGAAATTACGATCAATTTTATGGGGAAAAAAGGTAATTTAGCCTCTAGTCAAAAGTAGGGCAAGAATAGGAATATTTCCAAATGTCTCCCTTCGATAATAATTAAAGAATCACTGAACTGAAAGTGTATACGCTCCCGTGACCTCTGATAGTTGAGCCAACAAAGGGTTAAGTAGATACACCAGTAAAGATAAAAAATACTTTGAGATATTTACAAATATTCACAAGATTAAGCCCACCAATACACCGTCCATAAAGATGCTGTACTGTATGCCTATCCTTCGATCTGGGAAGGGAAAACAATTTGCTTCCAGAGCAAGCTCAATTCGGCCTCACTCCTACCGGAGTTTTGGCCGAGACTCGAAGCCTGAAAGTAGAACTACTCGTCACAGGACGGGCCAATCAGGCGCCGCCGCTTTCTTGGTTTGATGTCATTCAAGGGCAGATGAGCAGCTCATATGCGACCCAAAACAGCATGTCTTTGGCATGTATTTTGGTATAGACCAAGTGCTCTCTTGTCAGACGTGCGAGGTGGCCGGAGCAATTATTTCTGCGAAGAAAAGTTGGGTTTCGAAGAATCGCTTGTATCATAATTGTTGTTGCAAGTGAACGCGTTTGGTGAAGCGATTCGAAGGTCGATTCCACCAGAAGATGATGACTATCTGTCGAACATTCTTGTTGACAATGTTCCCGAGGCAATCTCATTCGTCGTGTGACGGACATCATCTTTCACTCCAACTGGAAGTAATGCCAACAATGATGAAACAAGCGATTCCTCGAAACCAAACTTTTCTTCGCAGAAATAATTGCTCTGA